CTTTCTAAATGGAAGAGAGCCACACTCGTGGAGCTATCTGCTGCAGCTGGTTCAAGTAAAGGGAAAAAGATGTCAAATAAAAGAACATTGAGAGAGAAAACAAAGAGCATTCGATAAAGAGTCTGCACAGAAACAAAGTCTGCTGTTCAGAGAGCGTGTGTGCGTGCATGTTATGGAAAACACACAGATGTACAAAAGGTCAGTGTAAGCTTCAGAGACACACTGTTCTCACACTCTGGAAAGTTCATTATGACATGGCATGAGTTTATAACTGGGTTCCAAAGGTTGGAGGTAAAAGGGTAAATTAGCTGATACAGATATCCACTCAAAGACCACTTTATTAGGTACATCTTGCTAGTACTGGGTTGGACCCCAACAGAAAGGCCTTAATTCATCATGACAACAATTCAACAAGGTGCTAGAAGCAGTCTGCAGAGATTTTGGTCCATGCTGACATGATTGCATCACTCATGCACATCCATGATGAAAATCTCATGTTCAATCACATATCCAAAGCTGCTTTATTGGATTTTTAAGATTATTATTAAGATCTGGTGTGGAGGCCATTTGTGATGTGTGTTATCTTGCCGAACGCAGCCATTGGAAGATTGGTACAGTGTGGCCATAAAGGGATGGGCATGGTTGGCAACACTACTCATCTTGCTGATTTGGTACCGAGGCACTCTAAACATGCTGAGAAAATGTCGTCTAGGGCTTTACACCACCACCACCAGCCTGAACCGTTGATACAAGGCGGGATGAATCCATGCTTTCATGCTGTTTACACTGAATTGTGACCCTTCCATCTGCACATTTCTGTAGAAATTCATACCAGGAAATGCTGCTTAATGGATATTTTCTCTTTTTCACACATTCTCTGGAAACCAGTAGATTGGCAGGTTTCAAAACACTTTATGCCTTATTCAAAGTCACTTCAGTCGCCTTTCTTCCTCTTTCTGAAAATGAACTTCTGCAGATCATCTTAACCATGGATAAATGTGTAAATGCACTGAGGCGCTTTCATGTGATTGGCTGATTAGATAAGTGCATTAATGTGGTTGGACGGGTGTACCTAACAGGGGGTGTCAGATGAGTATAAAGACTTATTTATAACACACTTTGCAGCATAAACAGAAACAACAGTATGGAAAAGGATAAGACATGAAATAAGGATATATATCAAGTATTAAGTGAAGATGATTAAATATGCATGATATAGATGCAAATAGAAAGAACTGGTCTGACCTTGTTATTGGTCGTCCTTTTAAAGAGAGAAGCTTTCAGTTTTTAATGTTTTCCTCTCTTTATGAAATAAAAAGTGTCTTTCAAATGAACGCAGTGTCATGCCATGTAAATTACATTTGTCAGTGGAAAGGGAAGCTTGGTAGTTTGAATAGTTTTGATACCTCTTTTGACCTCTTCATTTGTCTTCCAGGTGGATCCAGCTAAGCTGCGCCAAGCCTTGAAGTGTGTCCTCTTCAACCACGTGGTAATCTCCGGGGCCATGACTGTGGTTGTTTACTACCTGATGAGCTGGAGAGGAAACCCCTGTGGCCCCGAGCTGCCCACCTTTCACTGGGCCCTGATGGAGCTGGCCGCCTTCGCCATCTTGGAGGAGATTTTCTTCTACTATTCACACAGGTAAAGAACATTTATTTTTTACTTTAAACACCCATGACACATCAAAATGAAACATGCAATCAGTGGATCGTTGGCAGTAGATGACATTTCTTCCTCATTTCAGAGATGGAGGCGATTGTGATGTTAACAGTACGCTGATCTGTGTTTCTTTCATGTGCATGCAGTCCCTCTGTTTTATAGTTATATACTGTTTTAATTCACCATGTTAGATTTTTAGCGACAGGACATGGACATTAGGTGCGATCCGTATAAACATTGTTTGTAGACTCACCCTACATAAAGCAATGCAGCCTGCAACATCGTCTATCAGCGTTAATCCGATTGTTCTTATGTGAGCTCAGAGCCTTTGCCAGCGCACAGTACAAACCTTGACGCAGGATAGGGTGCAGTCGTTTTATGCGTTCATTTTGTTTCTTTGATTTTCCTCAGGCTGTTCCACCACCCCAGCCTCTACAAGCATTACCACAAACAGCACCACGATTGGACCGCTCCCATCGGTATTGTCTCCATCTACGCTCATCCTCTGGAGCACGTGGTGAGCCTTCCTCTTTCTCCTACTCAACAAAAAGAAATGAACCGTTTCCCCTGTGAGTGTCAAAGCAGCTGGAACTATCTCACGTAAACCAAACAGATTCTTATTTATACCTTTAGGAATCTGGTCAGACCTGATCCTGAAAGAACTCTCTGCACTCTTAGCACAGTTAGAGCTGAGCGGATTAGTCCCTGAAGTATCCCTGCTGGCTCCGTGATTGCCACTGTAGTTGATATTTGTGTTAAACAGCAAAAATGGATCAAACGTGCAGATACGGATCACACGTGTACATTTGCTGTAAATCACAGAGACTATTTCATCTTTAAATATGCAAGAGAAGAATAAAAGAAAGAAAGAAGAACTGATAATTCACACCTCCAAGTCTCGCAGCACTTTACTTCTGCTAAGGGTAAGTGTGTTTCTGTTAAACGTACTGGATTGTTCTCTGCTGTTAGATCTCCAACTTATTGCCGGTGGTAAGCGGGCCGGTTCTTCTGGGCTCCCACGTATCCACCACCTCCATGTGGTACTGCGTAGCTCTGGTCAGCACCACCATCTCCCACTGCGGATACCACCTTCCTTTCCTGCCTTCTCCTGAGTTCCATGACTTCCACCACCTCAGGTGAGTTTACCTGTCCTGTTTTACAGAGGTCCTGTTCTGTTGTTTTGAAGGTGAGATCTTAGAAATGCTGCTTAAAAGTTTCTTTAACTGGTGCAAATGTTCAGTTGGACTCAAACAGGATGTCACACAAAAGTCTGCTGGAGAGAAATAATGATGACTTTGCAAATCCGAAAGGTCAAAGTTCACAGTAACTCGACCGGATGGGAAGGCAGTGATGCTGGTACAGTTATCTTGTTTAGATAAGACCCGTGAAGGCACACAGAACCTTCACGTGTGCAAAGACTCGGGTGAAGCTACTCCAAAAACGTTTACCTCGACGAGATGAAGCTGATAAATGTATAACTTTGAAAAGGCAATGTTATGTACTGCACTTTGTACACAGTGTTACTCATACAGGAGAAAGTAATTATGTACAGTCTGGGAAGTCTTTCCATGTGGCTTAATATGGCATAAGCAAGACACCAGAGTAAGTAAAAAATATAGTATCTTGGTGTTTATGCTTGTATGACTGTGTGACTCTGAAATGATTTTTAATAATTAGTGGGACAGCACTGTAGGAATAATCCACTATCATTGGACAATTAAATCAATGAAAATGTCCCATCAAGAGGAAGACGAGTAACACTGAGTTGGGGAAGATGCCAAATTACAGGAAAATGCACAAGAGTATTTGTTGTGGCATGCACTCTATAGCTGTAATATTGTAAGCAGAGATGATATAATAATACAGAGAATTCCCCAACAATCAGATGAAACCCTAAGAGCAAGCACCTGGCGACAGTGGGAGCTAGAAACTCCGTTTTAACAGGAAGAAACGTCCTGCAGGACCAGGCGATGACCGGAGGAAGAAATGTTACTGCGTTTCCCCACATTAATAAATTATATGCACATGTGAGTTTGCTTCACAAAGCAGAATGTAAAAGCTTCAAATTAGTATCTGAGTTTTCACTTTGATACACAACAGCACTCATTGTGCAGTGCAGTGAGGATGACAAACTGAAGTCCACTATTATTCAGCTTTTTATAGGTTTCCTGTAGTTGAGTTGTTTAAAACTTAAATCTGAATTTGAAAATTATTATTATTGGGGCAATTGTTTCTAATTCTGCTTGGTGGATAACTAACAGTTGCCCTCACTTGTCTCGGTTTTCAGGTTCAATCAGTGTTTTGGCGTTTTCGGCATCCTGGACAGGCTCCACAGCACAGACAGCAAGTTCCGTCAGACCAAACAGTACGAGCGCCACACTCTGCTCACCAGCTTCACCCCGCTGAACGAGAGCATCCCTGACACACAAAAGAAGGGCCAGTGAGGACTGCAACGGTCGAATCTTATGCGGGGATATGCAATTCCCAATCGATCTTAAAAACTTTGATTTTTTTTTTTTTATATTTTGAATCTTCAGTCAAGTTTGCCGAGCCTCTGCAGTCACCCACCTGACTTTTATGTGCTAGTGTGTGGTCATTGCACTATAACATACAGATGTGATTTTACTTTTAAGCTCTGTTAATTTTTAACAATAAAAAAAAAAAAAGAAGTCAGGATGGAAACAAGCTTTTCCTTTTTCTTGTCCGTTGTCTTGACATTTGCTTCATTTCACATCTTTGAGTTTAGTCTGAATTACAGTCATCGGTGACTTAAGCTACAGCACATTTGAAGTCTTTCTGTGATTAACGGGGTGAAAACAGGAGTGGACAGCACTCTGCAGTCTCACTGTTTGCTGGCACTCGTTCTGAATGCATTTTTACTTGTACCCAACTGTTAAACCGTTTGAGGAAACCACTCCCTCGATGGATGTAAAAGAGGCGATATTATCACCGCAAGAGCATGCAAGACAAATGTGAATGTTCCTGTTTGATGTATCTTATTGTAGTTTTAAATGCAATCGTTAATTTCTAATGAATTCTTTAACTTTTTGTAAGTTTAGTAAAAGCACTTTCACCCATTCAGACTCTTCTGTTGCGTTCACTGACCACTGGGACAGACGAGAATCTGTATTCTTTGGCAAATGACAAGCAATTCCTTTGCACTTTGCATATCTGTGGCACTTATACTTTCAGAATATCAATGTCTTTTTGGATTACCAAAAAAGTGATTAATACAAATGTAACAAATGTTCTGATAGAACTGTTTAATATTAAAGTATTAAAAGCATGTGGTCTTTCTGTGGGTTTCATAGACAATAGGAATGATCACATGACACCTGGTGTTTGAGGTTTTTTTGTGCGTTTTGTGGTTTTTTTTCTTTATTAAAGGAAAAGCATAATTACTACAAATTACAAATAACACTAATAGCGAATCACGTCAGCCTACAAAGCAGATATTATGAATATTAAATGTTATAATACAAGATCTCATTCAAGTATTTTACATTTTTCCATTTTATATATTTTTTTGTTCCTTTTTTCCTCGTTTTCATCTTTTTTTTCCTCATGACAAGCCTAGGATACTGTAATGTAATGAACTATTGATGTTCATATACAGTTATTTCTTATTCATATGGCTTTATGGAATTTTGTCCTCCCAGTCTCCAGACATCATAACAGCCATATTCCTCTGAGCGACATCACATCTTGCTCAGTTTCCTCTCTTCCTTCCATACGTCCATCTTTTATCCCGCACAGCTGGGAACTCTGACCAGCTGAACAGGCAGCGCCCCCTAGAGATTATATGGACAGCAGCAGTTCAATGCTGATAGAGATGGATGAAAACTCCCAAAGCACCTGAATCCCCTCAAATGTCCCGAGACGAGTGATGATCACATCAAAGGCTTTGCCGGCTTTGGGAAACGAGTTTTCAGTTCTGAATTATTTCATAGCTCTTTTTTTTCCTCCTCTCCAGTAAACACTTTGATGTTTCAACTGAAACTGATCCAAATCTCCCTGAAGATAAAAGATTAAAGGGGAGGGTGGGCAAAAAATAAAATAAAAAGCAAGTACAGCTTCACTTTGCATTTAAATACAACTCTAAATTTAAGAGGAAGAAACTGAACAACATAACACTGACAGGACAATGTGACATCCACCTCTGGGCCCCCCCCCAAAAAAAGAAAGACAGGCACAGGTGTCTGATGCAGTTTCAAACTGAAGTTATGACTGGAGCAAACATTAGCTACAAGCACTCAGTAGGTCAGCAGGAAACACTTCTTCCCACATGTCTATTTGCACATGTGCATTTTTTTTTATAATTTCTTTTAACTAGAATTTGATGAACTTCTGGTTGAGTTCAAACCCAAAAATCAAAGAATTTTCTTCAGTTTTTTTAGACTTTGCATACATTCTAATTGTAGAAAAATTGAAGGCTTCATAAAAGAGTAATATTAGAGATGTTTCTCTCATCTTCACTAAAAAGAAAATATCAAATCAACTGATTTCAACATGAAACACTAGAAGCTTACACATTATTTTTCGTTTTAAACATTGAAGACCCGTTGACGCCCTGATGTCAACTTTCCCTTTTGCGATGTGAGCTACGTTCCCATTTCTGTTTTTATATCAGCCCGACACAGAGCGCTCCTCCAGCATTACAACACTACAAACACTGCAAATTGAAATTAAAATGCATTAAAGATAAATCATGAGACCATTAAAAAAAAAAAAAAAAAAAAAAAGTTAGAGTACGTACACATGTAAGGCAAATATATATCTGTACTATAGACAATAAAACAAGAGGTGGGGAGCTGTTATCTTTTCTGTTCATCTCTCAAATTTCACATTTACACTCGTGGAGGAAGAGTCGCTCTTCTGCTTGATATCATCAGATTTAATAGTCCTGTACGAAGAGTGACGACTCAACAGGTTGTGAACAAACAATCCAGTCCACGGTGAGGCAAGACGTCGAGCAGCGCGTTTTCTACTGAGCGTGCCCACGCTGCTACATCAGTACCTGCCTGTCCGTGTTTTTGCCTGCACCTTACGTTTGGATCCGTGTGAGAACCGGGAAGCGGTGGCAGGCAGCTCGCTGAACGTCTTAGCATCGTTAGTGTCTCCACCCAAAGCACCTGCGTCACAGGACGACGGTCCTCTTTGTAACCATCGCCTCTTCAAGTAATCCAGATTGTAATGATTTCCAGTCCTGTAGCGTCACTGATGATCAACTGATGGATGGATGGATTGACAAACGGATGGATGCAGCTCATCTGACGGGAAGGTGGAGGACGACAGGAAGTCAGGTAGCACCCAAAGGGAGATCAACCCCAACTCTCCATCACGTTTAAGTGTTTTATTTTATTTTTTTCGCGAGGGGTGGGGCGCTGACAAACTTTCACCAGGTTGACGTGTTTCAGCACAAAAAGCCACAACTTGCAATCACAGCGATGAATTACAGGACTTGTAACAGACCAAATGACACTTGGAAGACAGATGAAAGGGGACTGAGGGGGATGGAAAATAAATTTGGCAGAGAGCACCAACTAGTGGCCTCAGCTGGAAATGGTGGTGAGATATATGGGTGACTGATGCTGTACAATCGACAATAAGGTGGCGGGCACAACTTAGAAGCAGTAAAACCATTAAAATAAGGCAACTTTCAATGATCTTGTCCATAGCAAGGGGTTGATGCAAGTCTCTCTCTCTTTTTTTTTTTTTAAATCATTTGCTTCCTTAAATATTTTCCCCTCAATGTGCAGCCATAAGGTAAATTATTTTTTTCATATATTAGCCCTTTGAAAACTCTCAGGGCGCTGCGGATGAAAAAGTTAGTTGCTCGGTTCTAACCACTTTGGTCCGACTGGATGTCAAAGAGCAGTACGGCCTCCAGCGGGCCATTACTGGGGCTTGTTTGTGTTTTTTTTAGATGCTCAGTCTTGTTCAAACTATTTCCACATCTCAAATTCCACTTCGTGCTGAAGAAATAGTCATCATTAATCTGAGATTTGGATGAGGGATCAAAGATCTTTCAACCAGCAGGACAGTGACGATCAAAGAGGGTCCCAGAAACAGGGAGGGAGGGGCCAAAAACAAGGAGGGAAGGAAAAAAATTTTTTTTTTCCAGAATGTTAAACCTAAACCATCCGGCAAAGGTCTGCACAAGTGTTTTGCAATGGATGGGTTTGTCGACCCATCCATTGCTTGCCTCATTAAGACAAAAAGTTCAGAAACCTTAGCAGTGATCAATAAACCGAGGCATATTATTTATTGTCTCTCTTATTTATCAAACCTTTCACAGGCGCAAAAACAAGGAAAAAAAAAGAAAAAAAGATATCACATGCTTGAAATGAAGAGCTGGATGCCCCTCCCCCTCCTGTGGCGCAGAGAGAACCGGCGACTTGCAGACTTGGTTAATTTAGTCTGTGTGGGCCAGTGTGTTTGTGGAGTTACTTCAGTGTTTTGGCATTTGATGCGGGATCAGCAGTGGGAGCCGGGGCTTTGTGGCTGGTAGGTTTGGCATCATCCTTGGCTGTGGGAACCTGGGTGGTGGTGGCGTGGGTGGGGCCTGAGCTGGCCTGACTGTGGGGACGGCTGGAGGGCTGAGAGGGGTGCCGGCGGCGACCATCCCCACTGGACGAGTGTCTTCGGCGACTTCCTTCCTCCATAGGCGGCTAGAAGCAGAAATAATCGTGTTAGATAACACGCCTAAGGCAACAACATGCTGCGCTTCAAAAAAACCTTTAAGCTCTTATTGATACAAACAGGAGAAAACTTGAAGCACGTAAACTCCTGATAAAACAGATAAAACCTAGTGAATCAGCACCAAGGACAGTATCTGTTTCCGTGGGACGCCTCAGTCAGTGAGATCATGATAACAGTATAAGGAAACATGCAAACAGCTTCTGCTGCTCAGGCTCAACTCCATTTACACATTTCACTTGCATCCATTTGGTCCGACTTTCTGTTTTCCTCCCTGTCAGTAGACGCATTGTGAGACCATCATTCTAAATTGATATGTTGTTTGTTTGCAAGACACCCAACTTTGAAACTCTGTCCACAGTGTGACATAGGACCACACATCTTTCATGCTCATCTTCTTTCACCTGTCAGAAGTCACATCATCTTCCTGAAGTTAGTTCGTGAACCAATTTTAGGCTCATCTTAGCATTTAAATATCATCAGGTTATATCCTTTATTATCACAGAGAGCTTAAATCCGATATGACACTTCGTGTGTGACCTCAAATCTTTTCAGGATAATTTCTTATGAACTTTTGTATCTCAGTTCACCTTTCTTACCTAAGAACTGATCATCGATACTGGAAGTAAGATCATGTCTCTTCAGCCCTATTATACACCTTACAGCCTGCTTATACCTACAAACTTCAAAGAATATTTAACTTACGTCGATTCTGAAATCTTCGAGGCGTTTAAACTTGCTCAGGCACTCCTGCAGCTTGGGTTCAATCTCCAAGTTCTTGGCTTTGGAGTATTTAAGGAAGGCCCAGAACTTCTCAAGTCCATACAGCTGCCCTGTGGTCAGAAAACAAATGTTGTTAAACGTGACTGTACAGAAGACAAGAGCTTGTTCATATAAAAATCTCTGCTGAGGTGCCTCTGAGAGTGTTTTAAGGTTTCCTCACCAGCTTCGTAGTCTTTCATGGTCTCCTCCTGGAAGTCCTTAAAGATGTCTGGTCTGAACTTCTTCTCTAGACCGTAGCTGTAGTACCTGAACAAGCACTCTAAACCGTACCTGCAACACATAAGCGTCGAGAGAGGAAACAAGAGAAATTAGATCACACCGAGCTTTGGAAATAACAAAAGCTAGATTCAGACAGCTGCACAGAGCCCGTTTCCACTGTGCTGCCAAAGCTTTACATCTGCTCTTCTCCCCATCACGTAAATCCAACTGTCCAATAGTAATGTCACTGCTACATACACAGGTTGCAGATCTTACCTATATCCTTCTTTTCCATCCTCGACCACCAGCTGTCTGAATTCCTCGTACATTTTCCTGTTGAAGTGGTCCCGCAGGAAAAATGACCAGAATCGGAAGAGCGTGTTCATCTCCTGCGACTGGCCGATTCCCAGCCGTTTCCGCTCTGTGATGGAGAAAAAAATGGTCAAATACATGAAGATAAAGGACACAGTTTCAATTAACTTGTAATAATTAATGCTAAACAGTCTCTGATCAGAACTTAAGGGATGTTTAAAAACGAGGAAACGCACCGTTTAGGCAACGCCGGCGGTACTTGTGGTAAACGTGTTGCGTGAAGCCGTTCTCCTTGAGCAGCTCGTGCGATGGGTGCTGGAACTTGGGGAGGGACTGGGGAGTGCAGCCGATGTTACCCAGGGCGGGGGTGCCCTCCGATGGGCTTGCATTAGAGCTGATAGAGAGAAAGGTGGAGGATTAGGTGGAGATCTACTAAAGTAAGTCCACCTTCAGTAAACCTTAAGTCTTGTGATCATTTTACTTAAAGGACAGTACACAATATGAATATCTTCTATGCTTTTCCTTTTATGTTCTGGTATTATCAAAGCTGACTGCAGAGCGTGTAACAGAGAGCAGAGGGTCTCACCTGACGGAGGCGGTACGGGACCGATGCTCTCTGGAGTCCATCACCCAACCGACGTGGCACTCCAGGGGCGGGTTGGAGCTGTGCCGGGTCTTCCTCTTCCTAGGCGTCTAAAAGGGCGCGGAGAAAAATCAACACGTTTAGTCGCTGAGCTTTTCATGCTGAACCCAACAGGTTTTGCCACTAAAAGACAATTCCAACGTCTCACCTTGGCATCGACGGGCCGACTTTCCTTCACGACTGGGTAGAAGCGAGGCGTCATGGTCGGGTCCTTCCGGTGAGGCGTGCGAGGCGTCCGGGGCGTCCGGGCACTGCGGTAGTTGGGCGAGTCAGGCACGGTAGTTGGCAGCGAGCGAGCTATTGAGGAGGGCTCGGGGGCACCGAAGAGTTTGTTTGCCAAAGCGTCTGTGGGGACTGTGGACGAAGATAGATTTGTTGTAGAAAAGAACCGAAAAACTTCACACGCAAAGTCCCGACACACACTTAAACACTTTAAGAGACATCTAATGTCACAACATCTTTGATCTTATAGCTTCATTTATTTCACAATGTGATGATAATGGACTACAGTAAAGCCACAGCTGTTACCACAGAACCAACATGGATTCAGAACTTCTTAATGTCTCTTTAATGCGAGTGATGTTGAATAAAAATGACTCAATGAAAATAGTGAGTGTTGTTAAAGCCGTTTACAGCACATTTAAAGACTGCAGATTTTAACTGGAGACCAGTAACAGTTCCTACAGAGTACCACCAAGTTGCTAGAAATTGGGTCGTCTGTCTTGCAAGTCATAAAGCGAGACCGCATTTCTGTCATTTTAGACCGACCTCTGGACAAAACACTCAATGGTTTTCCACAGTAACGTGTGGAGCGCTGGTGCTTTAACAGAGCATGTTTAATGGCGAGTCGATCACAATAAAACTAATTTTAGAGAAAGATCAGAAGAATATGACATTATTTAGAGCACCATGCTGCCTCTCTTCTATCCAATCCTTTGTCATTCCATCCAAATTTTCCTCTCAGGAAATTGTTCCAAAGGGAGTTCAAAGATTCCTTCAGACCATTGTTCACATAGGACTATGTCGACATGTTGGCATATTTATTAGCACTGTTGAATGTATCTGCTGTAAAATAAAAATGTGATTTCTATGAATCACTGCTCTGTTTTTGCTGACGCCCATCCTCTTGATTCATTTCCAGTCTGTTTCGGTCTCGCGTCAAATCTTTCTTTACACAAGCAGCAATACAAAAATCCCCCCAACAACTATGAGAGTTATTTTATGTTTTTAAGCTCTTCTAGTTGTGTTGCCATTCTTCATCTGGGTTCTGCTAGGTTGCCTGGTTTTTAAAAATGGGTTCATCTTCTTAGACTTGACTCCCATCTAGGAATTTTTCCAAGATGGGGGTCCTACACGAGGGGGCGGGGAAAAGAAAAAGAAAACAAAAAAGGTCTGGACAAGCCGAGAACTGCCCGACTGTTCTTTCAGTGAAACAGAGCCCAGTTTGCAGCTCTCTCTGTATCTCTTATAGGTGATTTAGACGTTCGTGGTGAACTTTTGTAGAGCCGTGGGTCGTAGCATCACTGCCAGCATTTATGACCGTCTCTTAGGGCTGTGCGATATGACCAAAATCTCATATCCCGATATAAGAATTTTATCGTCCGATAACGATATAAATCACAAAAATGTAACATTGTCTGTAAATTCTGTGAATCTCGGGCAGCTCTACTTGCGTGTTCATTTCAATAGTTTTGGCAATCTCCATCTGGGAATTTACTAACATTTGTGAGTCCTTATATTGATGCTATGATTGCACTAAGACGATGATTATTATTTTCAATGATAAATTCAAAAACTGCATTGAAAAGGTAGCCAGAAACGCAAAGGAGAATTCAACAGCAGTGAACAGGCCTGTCATGGTATTTTCCAGATGTGTAGTTTTCCTTCTAGAGAGGTCTCTAGAGTTTGTGACATGTATACAGCATAGATTTCCCTCAGAATCCCCAGATTTGGGTGTGATAATTATTTAAAAACACAAAAGCGTTGTATATTTGGCTGTGTTTTTGAGTCCTTACTCTGCTGGGGTCGTGGGGGGCCTGGTGGGACTTCCTGGTTGGGGTCGACAGGCGGCTCCGGGGTCAAGCAGTCGAACTGTTCACGGCTGATCAGGTGGACCTTCTTGAAGTTCTCCACCTCTTGCTGTAAAAATGAGAAAAATCACATGTTAATGCACGAGGCGTGACAAAATGTCTCTTTCTGGGAACCGTGATACGAAAACGTCACAAATTAATTAAAATATAAAAGTTTAAAGCCAACTTCAATCGTCCAGAAAAAAAGCACATAAAGTCATTTTCACATTATTTCCCTGTAAACTCCAAAACACCACAGGAAATGTCTCTTACATTCTGGACAAAACCGATTATTAACAGACCTTATCTTCAGCAGTCTGGAGAGCGAGATACAGCTGCAAAAAATAGCTGCTAGAAACACTCTCTTCGCCCTCATATCTGACATCTGACTGCTCTGACACGAGCGCAGCAGCCAGCAGGTTCACATCAACACAAGTACCCTGAAGTTTCTGCACATGAATACATCCGTAAAGCATGTTTTCTTGTTCCTTCTGCAACAAAAGCTAGTTTAAAAACGCCACGAAAACCAAACAGCGACGAATCATCCTCCCTGCCAAGATCATCAAGCGCGACTCACACTGGCTCTATCCCTCCGAGCATCCTCAGATCTCTGACCTTCCATCTTTAGCTCCCCTGCAGCCCATCAGCTCGAGCCCTCGGGCCGAGGTCTTGCGTGTGGGGTTTATTTATAAACAGCAGCACTCTGTTCCACACGACACAGGATTTGTGCCGGCGAGTACGTGAAGGTCGCCACAAAGAGTTCAACAATGCAACAATGGGCAGCCACGACAACAAAAAACACAAAAACAACAAAAAACTCTGTTGGGTGTTTTGTTTCCATATCCAGAAACAGCTGAAGGATCTACTCATCACCAGGCTTCAGGTGGAAACGTGTCTGACATGGCAGCGACACAACCTGGACGCTGTCCGACTTCTACATCAGGACGTCGTCGTCTCATAACCCACCAGATTAAGTGCAGAATCAAGCAGAACATCCTCACCTTGATGGTGGCGTATTCGGGCTCGTACGTATCGTCCCACAGGTCCTGCTCGTAGTAGAAGAGCCCGTCGTTGATCACCTTGGCCAGCTCGCTGGTCAACTTGGCGCGCGATGTGTGGTGGCCCGTGCGGTCGCCTCCCGGGTGCTTCCTCAGGTAGGGCGGCGTCTGCGTCACGATCAGGATCTTGTTGACGTCGTGGTCGTCGATCTCACCGTCCGTTTCCTCGTCGGACCAGTCGGTGAAGGTGTTGCGGCGTCCGTCCATCTGCTCCATCTCCTCGTCGAACATGAAGTCGAGCTCTTCGGGTTCGTCCTGCTCAGCTCCGTCCTGAGTGAAAAAAAACAAAGCACAAAAATATTCAAACGTTAGCTGATTATGTAAGTTAACTGAAAAACTGATAAAGATTAAAAAAGGTGCAGATTTAAAAATCACAGAGTTGCAGAAAGATGAAGCTACAGTCTCAATCTCAACAAGACTCTAAATAAAATAGCACAAACACATTATATAACACACATTTCCTTCCTCACCTTATTTCCTGAGGTAGCAGCGGAGGGTGAGGAGCCAAGCTGGGGCACCGGGGAGCGAATCGACTCATCCTTTTCCTTCTGCTGCTGATGCTGCAATGAAGAGGACTTCATCAGTCAACCGATCAAACAAGGGGAAATAAAGGAAGGAGGTGGTGGAGGAGGGTACGGAAAGCGAGGTTTGATTAAAGAATGATGTGAAAAGACTAAAACAAAAGGAAAGTGATGCAGTGGGGTCATGCAAAAATATATGCTGCAGTTAGAAGAATAAAATAAACTGCAGTGCCTGCTGCTGTGAAGCAAAAGTGATATGATAGACAAAATGAACCTCTAATATAATGACTAACAACCACACATGATCACTTCCTTCTTAAAACATTTTTAATTCAACATCTTGTCTGTGTTTTGCTCTGAATTTCACCTTTTCTGAGCTGACCTTGGGTCTGGCCGGGGAAGGTCTGGGTCTCTTCTTAACCTCGATCCAGGACTCGGAGTCCAAGTCAGGGAGACTAGCTGAGAGGCCCTTGGGCATGGTCTTGAGGTTGGAGACATCTGGTTCAGCCTTGGTCTGTTGTTGCATTGGTGTGGAGGCCCTGGGCGAACCTGCAGCAGAGAGAAGATAACAGTGAACATTAACTTTGACCACCAGGCAAGGATTACTTATCTTAAAATTCTCACTTTCTTCATGTAAATGAGGGAAATGCACGTTTCAAGTGTGATGCAGAATTGAGGGTCAGTTAAACATTACAAAATGTGCAGCTTCAGGTCAGAGTGCTCACCTCTGGGCTCCTCAGCCATCTGTCTTGGAACAAACTCGGGGCAGTTGATGAGCTGGGAGAAGTCCGTATGCGTGTGCGGCATGTTTGGCATGTTCAGGCCCGGCAGCGGCCACTTCTCCGGGTCCACCTTCCGACGGATCTTCATGTCGATAATTTCCACTTCCTTACTGTCCTTTAACGCCTGACGGGACAGATGAGGGACCGGTTCGCCCAGGTGATTAGTAGAAATTTGCGACCATTCATGTATTGACAAGAAACGGGGAAACTACCCAGACTGACTCTGTCCAAAGGTGAAAATATCCCAGTAGCAAATCTAAAGGTCACTAATTAGAGCTGCATCATTTTTTAATGTATTTATTCATTTTTTGAAGTTGTACAAAAACCCAAAAATGACCTGCCAAATATTTGTTGTTCGGTACCCTCGAGCTACTTCTGGACAGAAAATTGTTTCACATAATGAACTACAGAAGCTTCTGGAAAACAGTCCCCCAAAGGTTTTTTTCCTTTAGTGCATTTTAACTTGAACGCTGCTTCACATTATTTTTTATGCAATTTAATTGCTTGTTTTTCTGTCCTACAGCTGCTTTCAAACCAGTTCTGACTGCGTTTAACATGAATTTTTAAATGTCTTCACTGACTGACATCATTCAACCAGTCAAAGAAACGCGCTTACATCCAGAATGATGTTGACGTCGGTAGTGAGGGCCTGAACTCTGTGAAAACTGGCGATGAGTCCGATGGGCAGGAAACCCTCCTGATCCATCTTCCTCCGCAAGAAAAAGTCTCTCTCCAGGTTGTCTAGGCTGAAGTAGTACTCACTGGAAGAAAAGAACACAGGGAGAAAAGTGGTCAGCAGATGCTGGTATTTCATGCCTAGTCTTTGACATCAGAGGGAAGTAAAGTGAGAAAAGAAAAAGAAAATCAGAGGGAAAGACTGAATGAAAACTTATTTTTGTTACGACTGGTTATGTAACATTGTCTAGATGTCAACAGTCATCACATATCTTCCAAACTAAAAACAGAGGATTTAACAAGGTTTCAGAGCCTGAGTAAGTCGGCCAAAAATGTATTGTTTCGACACACACAGCATCTCCAGCAGCAGGTGCTTTACTGGACTATGTCAGGTATAATCTGAACAGCTTCAGTAATGTTGAAAAGAGATACTTTATTCGTATAAGTGAAGTAAACTTAACCACTTATCGACAACAAGACTGTCAAGCATGCAGACCGGGGGCCAAATGTGGCTTTCCGAAAGAGTCCAAAATCAACTAAATGTGTGACTTTCCAAAGAGTGAAAATGACTCCAATTTCATCAGTGAAATGCACTGCTAGTCCTGCTGTGGGGATAACAGTCTTACAACACAGGAGTGTAAACGTATGAAAACTTTGAAGGATTTCTAGACATCAGTTGAGATCTGAACCTCGTAAGATCAAACTGGGCCCTAAGGTGCTGATCAACTTCAATCAGTTTAACAGCTCTGGTTTAAAGCAGTTGACTGTGATGGGAACAAAGATGTGATGAAACCAGTTTCTTTTTGATCCATCATAGTTTGATTCATTGTGTGTGTCCGTGTCACACAGATAATTTGCCTAAAACAAAATCCAGAATATGACACCATGAGGCGGAACAATAGCCGTTTAAATCTGGTGCCAGACAAATGAGGTCACACTACTCAGAATCTGGAGAGTGAGATGCAACTGCAAAGTGCTGAAAGATGAACGCAAATGATCAAAGCTGATGTTGCAGAACCAGAAATACTGGGGGGGGGGTTTCTCCATGTTTCCTTATCAAGCAAATCACAGTGCAACTCGGCCACCAACCAGATTCAAGTGTAGAGGCTCAAGCTGCTAGTGTCAAGCACCGATGATGTTTAGCTCCATCTCCAGCGCCACACCACAAATGTCTAATAACAGTTTGTACCAGTAGAACCCATTCAACTGACATTATTTGCAGCAATTCCCCAAATTAAGCAGCTCTAATCTTAGGAGGAAGAAAAGCCAAGCCATGACGTCAAGATGTGACATCATGCAACCTTAAGGTCTGCCATCTTTGCAAAAGCCAATCACTTCATCTCATTATGCTTCAATGCTGAGATCAGAGTTGTGAAAAGTTCTCTCCACCGTCATTTAGTCAGAGAAGAGACATGAAGAGCTCATCACTTCTGCAGCACATCTGCACATAATGTCTGAACGCAACCCAATAAATACGAGTTTACCCCCCGACATCGACCTATTCCTGTGACAGAAAAGCTAAACTCACATTTGCCGCTTGATGTAGTCCTTCAGCAGATCCCGATCGACAGAGTAAAGGTCATTGCTGCTCATGTTGTCGTAATAGTAGGTCACCGAGTTGCTGAACTTCTGTCCGTAGGGTCCGTCTTTTACGTCGTAGGACTTGTAGCTGTAGTGATAGTCGTAGTGGCCTTGAAGGGAGAGGAGCAGTCGGTTAGACAGAAAGCGTGCAGCACGGCGTGCATACATTACTCGTGTGAAAGACGGTGCACGGGAACAGCAGATGCTCTCTGCGTTGTGAACCTTCTCAGCTATCAGTGCTCACATCATTTTTACCCTTTACTATTCATTTCTTGCAAAACCAGCCAATCAAAAGATTAAAATTCTTCCACTTGCTATTAGTAGGTAGCAAAATTGATTGGGAGGTGCATCTTTGTTCTCAGATCGATGCTATCTGATGGCTCTCACATTGAAGACCTGAAAGAAGACTCTTATACTGACACTCACCCCCAAAGCATTAATTCTTATTCAAGTACTGTTAATTTTGTTGTGTTTCACCATTTCTATTAAAAATCCCCTAAGAATAGTTTTTAAATATTCCATTTATTGCATCTCTTTCATACCATATTGTCACTTACGCTGCTAGTTATAGTTAGGAGTGAGAATTATCGAAGGTTACACAAGAATGAAAACAGCAGACTGACAATCAGTAAGTAGGAGCAGATTAATGAGAATAAGTCTCAAGTTTAACTGCTGTTTAACTCAAAAGCTATTCAAGGCACAGCCAAGAAAAAAAAATGTGTTAAGATGTAAATTATAAAGAACGCAGAAGTGAAGGAGCAGTGAGCCTCTTAAAATACAATTACACTGTGTGTATGTGTATTGGCATATGTAGGAGGGCACCCACTTGAGGGCTGAGTAAATACACAAAGACAAAGTTCATGTGCTGAGCATTAACTGAAAGTCTCTTCAGCGCTGCTCAAAGTCAACAACCTCAAAAAAAGTTGGAAAAAAAAGGGAGAAAAGTGGAAATAAAATTGCTTCACTCACATTTTTGGGCACCGTTATAAAGTTTATGAGTAGCTGGTGCTTCTGGGAAGGAGGGTGTAGGATAAAAGGAGGAAAATGAGTACATGAAGAGAGAGGTGGGGGGGTTGGAATAAGGAAAAATGTATGTATGAAGAGAGTGAAAACAACAGGGAAGTGGGAGGGAGACTCTGGCCAAAACCAACAAGCCTTCAGGGAAACCAGTTTCTCCTGCTGGAGCCAAGGCCAGTCCTCATTCCAACACTCTCTGGTTGTTATTGCACTTTTTGTTTTTACTCTAGCCTCCGTGGGGGCCAGATCAGGGTCATCAAACACTCAGATTCAGAGCCGTGGCAGCCAAAGCAACCAAAACTAGATAAGACACTGTCTACCTGTACCAACTTAATTCATCCAATTCACCAGCTTAAATCCTTGAAACGTTGATAAAGAGAAAGTTGCTGTACTCCATGATTGCAGATGAACAGAAGACTGGACTGGAAGTAAAACCCTCAAACTATACTATTAAGACAAATTCACTTAAGTTCATGGGGAGTCTTTCCACAAAAGCTGTGTGGGTAATGGGTTTGTCAAAGCACTCAAAACACTGACATCACCAACCAAACGGTACAAAATTAAAAACTGCGATGTCTCCTGTGAAAGTAATTTTGAAAGGATTTAGCCCAGGCAGCTTTACTTTCAGTGCTGAGATCAGAGTTGTGAAAGTTCTCTCCACAGATGTTTAGTCAGAGAAGAGACATGAAGAGCTCATCACTTCTGCAGCACATCTCTTATAGTGATACCAAGCGCTCTGCCATATCACAGCGTCTGCAATAATAGCTGTAAATTCTTAAGTGATATAAAAATGTTATATAGCGATACCCCACGTTTACGTCCCCTGGTGTGCACAATGGCACGTCCAAGACCGAGGAACACTCGTGTGCCTCCAATGATGATTCAGTATCTAAAAAGAGGCCTACTTCAACAATCTCCACACACAATACTCTGCATAAATATGCATGAAAACAGTTCCTGCCAACAGTGAAAAATAAACCTGTTTCGCCACTTGGGGCTAAAAAATACACAGTAGAGTACAGCCAGTGCAGCTCAAATGTAAACACATTCAAACAAGCATTGCTAGCTGCGGTCCATATGACAGGAAGAACAAATGGTGGATGGAAGTTTCTGCTGCTGCTGGTTAAAAAGCTCCAACCAGGAAACGCCATCCAAGGAAGAAACGCTTTATTATGTGACAATACTGTGCAGCTCGTTTTCTCCAGCATTAAGAAATCATGTTATACTTTTTCTTAGAATTTCCAGAGAAAACGCTACAAGGCTACTTTTGTGCTGAGATGTGACTTCTGCTGTGTCACTGCTATTGCACTATTATCTGGCTACCACCTTGCTTCAGTGCATTCAGACCTCAAATTAGGAAACGTGTGCAAGTATCCTGCATGATGCTGATTTGTCAGTGCAGTCTGGTCAGCCTTTTAACTTAAAAGGAAAAAAAAAAAACTTACTGTGGTCAAAAAAAAACAAACAAAAGCGATGTTCATATTAGATTACTTATAAACATTTTGAGGACACCTGCTTAGCGGTGGGAAAAAAAGTGTTCTTTTGATATTTTTGAGTCGTCTAAAACGAGTAAGACGTACCTCTCCCGGCACCTCTGCCTCGTCCCCGACCTCTTCCTCTTCCACGTCCTCGACCTCTGAATCCTCCGCGGAATGGCGCCCCCTCACTCTTCACGCTGGAAACCTCATCGTGGTCGTCACGCCACTCGCGCTCATACTTTTGGCTATGCCAATCTGCAGGGAAGCCAACCATATTCCTGTCAGCAAACACTAAACCAGACTGGATAAGTAGGTCTGAACAAATATCCAATGAGGCTAACTAATTCTCTTTCTCACTAGTTTTCTAAATTGTGATAAAACACATTTGAATACGATACAGCGTCTTCCTAACAGCGAGTAGATTTCATTTCCTGAACACAAGTGGAGTAATACGTGAAGTACACAGCTGAATAGTGAAGCTATCAAAGCAGAAGTATAAAATTAGCAGTCGAGCATGCATGTGCGTACACACACACACACACACACACACACACACACACACACACACACACACACACACCTCCCTACCTCTCCACATCCTGCTGCTGAGTCATGTGCACTTTCTTAACCAGCTAAATGTAATAATAAGCTCTGTATTATCAACATCTAAAGACACGGCATCAAAGCCACTTCCATTAGTCGCATATTCAGATGTGCTATCATGTGCAAGCACCAGAGATGACCGCCATGTGGAGCCAACTTCCTACAACCTCTCACCCAAAATAAACCTGTTACCAAGTGAAGACGTCACAGACTAACCTCTGAGGTCGTTCCTGGCGTTGGGAGGCAGGCGCGGGTTTTCATTCTGTCTGCTGTTGTTCCTAGAGGCCGAGCGCTCCCTGGGCCCCTCTGACTTCACCTCGATCATCAGAGGAACCCACTTCTGCTTGTTTCCTGTTTTCAAATGACATGTAGAGGAAACACCGTTAAAAGGAAGAACAAATCCACTGACTGTTTCAGATGATGTTATTTTATTTATTCATTCTTACATCTACCAAATGAATATCTTAATCACCACCATGCTTTTTGAGTTTAGAAACAGTATATCTGTAAGCTAGATGATTGGCTGATTCTAATAGCCTTTAGATATGTGCATGTGATAAACATTCAACTTTTATTCTGAAAAACTGATAATCGCTTCCAGGACTTTCATAGATGTAAATGTATCCTGCAGTACCCTGGCTGTCCAGCAGGGTGCCTCACAGAGCTGCCATCTGAAAGGACTGCTGGTTGTCAGGGTGCTGTGTGGACATGTGGTTAAGTTTGTGATAGATAGCACGTGCAATAAAGAAGGGAAGTGACTGTCCCTGCAAATGTAAGAGATGTGGTCATCAACCCTCTTGTTCTTAAAATACTTGGTTGCTTGTACTTGACAGCAGTTCTTTGTTTACTTATGCATCTCGCTTAAAAGGTAGCTTGTAAATTTACTTATATTCCACATTTTGTGGCAATTGCAGCCTTCCGTGCAGGCCCAGACCCGTCATTTCCCTTCTCCCTCCCTCCTGCTTGTGGTATCTGAAAACCTTACCCATGTGTCCACGTCACACCGTGACAATCAGCTGTCCTTTTAAACTGCAGCTCTGCAAGGCAGCCTGCTGGACAACTAGAGCCAATTAAACTCTGAGTAAAACAGGCTCTGTTTTAAGTAGAGTCCTGGTGATTTACCTGTGGCTGAAAGCCAAAACCTTTTTGATGGGCACGAAAAACATGATTCATTTGCTTCAATACTGTGATCAGAGTTGTTCAAGTTCTCTTCATTTTAACATTTTAGTCAGAGAAGAGACATGAAACTCATCACCTCCACAGCACATATACAAAAACCGACAAATGCATCTCCAGGAACAAGAAGTTTTACTATTATAAACCCAACTGCTTTAAAATTGATACGAGTACATAAAAATGTGCACTGTATGCACTGATCTTAAATACTGCAATTCAGTGCATAAATAACTTCATTGTTTAAGTCTCTTCATCAATACAACAACTGGCCTGAATTGTTAGGAAAAGAAAACGAACGGGCAGGTCGGTGCTAAAATTCGTGCCAGACCATTTGTATGCCGGTATGTTTTTTTTGAGAGGTGATGAAAACATGAGAGCCAGGAAACGCCCCCCTCCTCCACACACACAGAGCAAATACAGCCATGCACACTGAGGGCCAGCTATGCTGTGAAGGTCAGAAAGCACTCGCTGGCTGCCTGGCTGGCACGGTTTAAACCTTTAACTGCTGCCAAAACTGCTAAACTATAACCAGCCACCACAAACTTCTCCTAAATGATCTGTTATGGGCACGAATTTAAAAGGCAACCTGTATTTGACTTCGAGTGATACAACCTTGTACTGTAACTGACTCTGCTTATTTAGATTTGCTCCCACACTACTAACGTGGTTATTACAATTAAAACACGCTTTGTTTAAGCAGCCATGAAAGACCCAACTTATCTTGCACTCACTTTACCCTTTACACGTGGAGTGAACGCATCTGAAACACTGATAAACGTAGGCAAAGGTGGCCTTTTGTTCTCTGATATTACACGGGGAGTACGGCGTATTTGCAAAGGCACAAGTGGAGAGCACAAAATCATCTACCACATAATGTGTACCCCTGTACCGGTTACTGATCCTTTGACTGGCCATTTAAGAGCAAAAACAACAACAAAAAACAGCAGCACAATCCTAACATCTTAGTTCACAGTTCTGGAGTCATTACTGCCATTTTTAGAGCTGCTTAACTGAAATCCTTTCATTTGTATTTCATCAACCTTACCACCAACTTTAGCACCAGATACTAATGAAGCCAATTATTTAAAAGCGAGAACCCCAAAAGCTCAGAGTGGACTTTTTCCTTCAAACGTTTTAATGTCAAAACCAGATTCTTTAGCAAGCACTATAATTACAGACAAATGATTAAATCAGTTTGATCATTGGTCACCTTTTTTCTTCGGTCCGTTCTTCTGGGAGTCGTCGTCACCGTTCTTTTCCTCTCCCGAGTCGTCTGACTTGGCCTTCACGTTCTCCTTGCTCTCTTCATTGCTCTCCCTTTTCTCCTTTGACTCCTTTTTAACCATCGTCTTTTTGGTGCCCTAAGTAGACGGGAAACACATTCAAACCGCTACTTAGAGGAGGCGAAGAAAAGTCCATGAAAGGAGACTGAGACAATTTCATGTAAGACTTGAATTATATGGAACTTGCCACAATTAATTCTTAATACACTTGCTTAACAAATTACACTGGCAAAGATTCTGTATAATGTTACACATTTTTACCATTTGATTTCAGTAAAATTAAAGCATTATTTAAAAACCCTTTAACAGCTGGCACTTTGACGGGACAGGTTAGCTTTCAGTAACCAAGGGCTCATTTTCACTGAACCAACATCACTTTTATAATCTTGACCTAGAGTTGAGCAACTCAGTATGTTTACATACGCACGCACACACACAGCAAGCAGTCTTTTTTAGTATTTTAAATCTCTTTTTTTTTTAGTTTTTAAAAATAAAGTTTGCAATAAATCGAATGCGAACAGGAAAAAGAAGCTCCTAAACCAGCAGTCTAGTGTGTAAAATCAAGAGGCTTTGGATTAATAAATATGGTGGGATTGATGTTTAATGAAGGCTAAAACTGCAAATACCCACCAGGTCATAAAGGTGATTGGGACAAAGGTGACTTTGCATGTGGTTTGGGGTTTACGTGACCTTTTTTTGGGACTGCAGCAGAGTAACACACTGCTCCTTCTGCCCTACACCCCAGCATAACCTGGCACAGTAACGGACACTGGGTAGTTCACCATATATAAAGTGGCTCTGCTGGTTATCTTTGCTCCCAGAGCTGATATAGTAGTTTATTCAAATCGGCCACTCCTCTGTGTTATGACAGCTCAGCAATCAGCAACATGCATATCTGCAAACTATGGCACTCCTGAGGTCTTTGCACAAGAGTCACGTAAATTTGTGTGAAGTTGGGTAAATAAAAGCAAGTTCATTTCCATGAACACGCACAGCCATGCACACCCTTTATTAAGTTTAATATGATCATACAAACTCAATTCAAAGACCAGACCAACCCAAACAGACTTGGTATTTCTGAACAACAGTAAGAAAGAAAGCAGTCTGTAAAAAAGTCAACATTAAAAAAAGTGCAAAGTATTAAATTATACTACAAAATAAAAGCATTTTTAAATTAAATTACACCAAAAGCTGAAGGAACCTATTTCAAATCTTGCAACTGAAAGCATTTGTATTACACACAATTTTATTTGTTTGTAGCATTAAGAGAGACAATTTGTAATCTGTCTTTTTAACTTTGTACCTCCAACAGAAAATTAAGAATCTTGCAAGGCTCGAACGCTCCACTTTGCTGAAAATAATTACTTCAGGTGAACATAAACCAGATTACTCATAATTCTTGGTACGATTTCAGACAGTGACTGCACATCTGACCTTACACACCAGCTAAAGTAATTCCTTTCAAATATATAACTGTGTATTATGCAAAGCTGACACATGCTGGGCCTAAACATTACATACTGTGAAGTTTATTTTTGAGACTTACCCTACAATGATTCAGTCAGCTAATATATTATTAACCCTTTTAACCAATGTAAAATTCTTCCAAAGAAATCACTGAACTATAAAGACAAAGAAAAGGTAAACCAACTCCAAACGAATGTTAACGTTTTACCTCAGATGGCATCCATCCCTATATTATACAATATATTATTATACAATATAGGATGCCACAAATAGCACAAAGCAAAGAAGTCTGGCTTTATTGGGTTATCTCTGTTATCCTCTTTTGCCAACTCTTTCTTTAGGCCAAGCTTAGAATGAACAAATCTTTTAAATCTAATTTGGAATAAAATGGGATAAATGACAAGGAAAGAAAAAGAACAAAATCCTAACAGCACAACAGGTTTTCCAAATTCAGTAGTGCAGAGTTTTGTAGCAATACTGAGTCTGAAAATCACTTTCTGTTCTAGCACATGTAGTACCGTTTTATTCAACAGTCCAAATTCTTGTCTACATTCATCTACTATGCTGTGCCCTTGATGGCAATCTACGATGCTCATTTCTGCTTTTTGGCTCCATTGCAGCAATTTTTTTATTTTAGCGCCCATCTCCTTAACACCCCCTCTCCCTCTGACCCCACTTCCGATTGACTGCCCCTCACCAGGCTTCCGAAAAGAGAGCACAAAACTTGTAGGCTCCGCCTCCTCTGACATCAGCTCATAATAGATTAGAAAACCCTTTGACATCAGCTGCTCAGAGCAGCCTGGAGCTTGAACATCTGACTCAGAGATTACATTTACAAATATGCTGACCTCATTATGGGAGCTCCACCATCATATGTGACAGAAACAAAGGAACAACACAACAGGCCCCCCTCAAAAACTGCATAATGAATCAAAAACATGGCACCGGTGACCATTACATGACTCAGCAGATGATGATGATGATGCAAAATGACACTGACAGGGAAGAATCATAAAAAAATAAAAATAAGTCATTAACTTACTGCTCACTGAGTAATGATTGTTGTTAATGGGAAGAAAATACTGAGATTTCCTCTGAGTTTAAACGGACAGAAGTTGACAGTTTGTCTCATAACAAAGGCTCTCCTAAGGTTACCATGGGATACGGCCACTTAAAGGCACAGGGCTTACCCAGTGTCTTAAAAGAAATGTTCAAAAACTTCTTTCACATACAAAAAAAATTACAAATAAAAGTCACAGCACAAATGTCTTTAGTCAAAAAGTGAGTTATCTGGATCTTTTTGTTTAACTCTAAAAAGGGTAAAGCGATACTTCTGTGAGTGTAATGCTAAGTTTTACATATTTCACTTGTTTTTGGTCTAAAAATCAGATACAGTTATTGAAAGTGGACAGGTAGGCAGGCAGCAGGGTTCATGGGTTGAACTTACAGTGAATTTCCATGAGTCTCTGACCTGCCTGACAGTCGGCGGGCAGGACACGGTCCGTGTCACTGCCTCGATCTGAACAGAGGGAGGGAAGAGCAGTTTAGAGAAGACAATGAGGTGGGACCATGATGCACAGACAGACAAACACACAGACACACACGTACGGTATGTAAAGATGTTTAAAAAAAAAAAAAAAAAAAAAAAAAAAAGAAGCTCTAATGCTAAGCAGTTAAAATGGATCAAAGCTTTCTAGCACCCGACCAATTAATCAGCGTACTTCGCAGCCCTATAGTTAGAATCTGGTAGTTTTCGGATATAGTGCAGATCAGACCTACTGGGCTTTTATAGCCTGCGCTCCTCTGCTCCAACAACATCATGCTTTTTATTGGTGTTGTCAAAAACAATGAAAATGCCAAGTCAGTGTTGCACAAGCTGTGGATAATAAGAAGCATCTGCTGCAACTATTAGTCGGCCGAGCTTCCTCTGGGCCTTCCACACTACAGCCAAGCTCATCTCAGTGGAGACAAAGCTAATGTGTGTCATAACATCAAGAGGTTTATTGCTGTGAAATCTGTGCGGCTTGGACGAGGAGTGAGGATACTTTCAGCGATGACAGAATGGTGTGAGATAAACCATTAAAGGATCAGGTGTGAGCGGTTCAGTGAGTTTTCTTAATCAATAACACTGCTGTTGGCATTTTCAGCCGCACAAAGCTAAGATCACAAGGATGCTGAGTCATTCTTCCTGCGCTACAGGAAGGCACTGATGACACGTCTGTTTTAGCCACTTTCATAATGAGACATTTCTAATCCCGAGCATAGGAACAGTTAACCAAAAACCCAGCCCAGAAAGCAGCACCGCCCTGCTATTTACGGTGGGTGAATGAAAGAAAGAAAATTACAGGCAGGACACTGATGAGATGATAAAAATGGGGTGAAAAATGAAAATACAATCAGGTATAGATGACATGACACCAGAAGCCACTGTGGACTAAACAGTCACATGCATGTATATGGCTTTTCTCCCCAGACTGCAGGGGAAGAGGGGCTTTCTTCTGCCTGCATGACTCAGACAACCTACAGTTATATATGTGGCAGTAGCTACTTAGGCTGCTGCTCTCTAAGAGGTGTGGAGTGGTTCTGACTGTAATGGCACAAAAGGGCTGATAACATGACACACTGAATTTTATACCATTATTTTTTCCAAGTTTTTAAATATAAAAACATTAAATTGTAATAAATTAAGATGGATTAGAGAGATTTTTGCACTTCAGTGTTCATCATCATAATTATTCCCCACTAGGCAAGTGGATCCAATTTTTACTAGTCCACAAGCCAATTTAATTATTTTATGTACCAATATCTTCAATATAGCAACACAGCATAATTTGTTGATAGTGGAGTACATGCATGCTCCTACAAAGAGCTGGAGTGGCTGCGGTCAGCCTGAAGCAAAAAAAAAAATCTGAAAGGTTAAAAATCTAGCACCTTCTTAATAAGATAAGATAACCTTTATCAGTCCCACACGTGGGAAATTTGCTTTGTCACAGCACGAAGTGGACAGTGCAAAAGTTATGTAGCAAAACTAGAATATAATAAGAATAAATACAGTACACAACTGTGCAGAATAGAATAAAATTAAATACTATATACAGTAGAATAAAATATGTTGGTTTTGTTAAACAAACTGGTGGTGGATGGGAACAACTGAGGGGCCAGTTCAGCAAGTTTGCGTCACAGGTCAACCAATAAGTCGCAACGCCATAAGTGACCCAAACAGGATCAGCTGCCTAATCAACGTGACTAGTATACGCACGACAACAGTCGCCCGAAAGCATTTTATACTGTAAGATAAGCATGAGCCAGCAAAATCCCAACAATCACATGACTCCCAATGAGCAAGCATTGGGACGGAAAAAGGGCCTTTTAAACAGGAAGAAGCCTCCAGCAGAACCAGCATCAGTGAGGAGGCCGTCATCTGCAGCAAGCGTTTGGGGGTGAGGGGAGGAAGACAACCTTTTTATTTGATGATTATTCTAAACATTTGTCCCAAAACAGAGGTGTGTACACGCTTTTCAGTTTTTCACTGATTTAAAAAAAAGAAGAAGAAATAAAAAAAAAAGAAAGTGCAACCTAGCTTGATTAGTATTACAAAACAGTTGCTAAACTTGGATCCAATTTATTCATCTAATTAATCTTACAACAAAAAAGTAGCACAAACCCTTTTATTACTTATTCAAATCTACTTTCAGTGTCTGGACTTTACACTTTGTTAAAAAAAGTTGTAATTTGTTTTGTCTAAATGTGTTATTGCACCGCACGTTTCTTTGAATCTCTGCGGGCTGCCCAAACAAGTGTGAAGTACTTTCTGCTTGCATTGCTGTGCTGTAGTTCATGTTGCATCGTGGAAGACAATTTTAAAACTTAAAAAAAAAAACAGATTAACTTTATGCTTACTGACTGAGAGCTTAGGTTTGACTTTAACCACAGCACTGGAAAATTAAAGTACACTATGCAAATTCCCCACCTTCTCTTAAATATCAGAGTCCCCAGCATGAGTAATCCGTGGAATTGAGTGACTGATTTACACCTTTGAATGTTGCATGATGGATGGCGAACTTCAGCTCCCCCCCCCTAAGAATAGCACCACCACAGATCCAGGGGTGGCTTCTTCGAGGGGGGATCCCTAAAAGGACATCCTTTCCCAGGCCTTGGCCTACCTCCAGACTCCACCCTTCCCACCAGTCCTGCAGGTTATTCCTGGTGCTGATGATATGACCCACATTTTCGTGCTCGAGGACACGCTCCCTCCTTCATGTTCCCTCAGACCTGCCTGCCTAAAATAGGGGAGGTTACCGGGGGTTGCTTGCCCAGTGACATACTGTTATCCAGAGACCAGAAATAGAAAACAGTTCTTTGGGGGGGGGGGGGGTTGACTGACTGCTGGTGCTACTGTAAGTGGACACAAATTAGACACATCCCACAGCTGACCTGCAGGCTCTAGGCAAGTGCATGATAAGAGGGCTTAGAGTGTCATGGACCTCTGGGTAAAGCTTATATGCAGGCGCGTTTCATGATGAGAATCGCTAGCACAGTGGTTCTTAACGTTGTTGGAGGTACCGAACCCCACCAGTTTCATATGCGCATTCACTGAACCCCTCTTTAGTGAAAAATAAAATATGATTTTTTTCAAATTCAAGACATAGATATGTTTTTTACTGGTGCACAAAATGAGCCGTGCATGTCATGGCGGAGGCTCTGCCGAACCCCTGAGGCCGACTCACCGAACCCCTAGGGTTAGATCGAACCCAGGTTAAGAACCACTGCACTAGCAGAATAGAGACTTTTTTTAAATGTACATTAATGCAATTTTAACAGACTCCCACCTCCTTAGTTCTTTTGTTATATGACAGGAGACAGCGCAGGCCCAACAAACCTGTAAACATCCCTCAAATTTGAAGGTTTAACACTAAGGTGCTACTGCAGGATCAATGACTCATTTGGATGTTTTTTAAGGCACTTAAGTAACCAAATAGGCAGCTTGAAGACTCAGAACAGCTTACTCTTAGAAATAGCTAACATTTTAATCACAATAAAACATGCAAAGTCATTTTAAACTCACTCAGTTTATAATGACTCAGGCCTTAGATACCGTCACAATTTTCTCTTTTTGAAAGAAAAAAGTAAAAAAAAATTTAAAAAATAAAAATTTGGCAGCTGCTCGTTTTGTGGTCAGCAATCTTTGCTTTGTCTCCACAGATGGAGACATGGTGGCAAATCTTGGCTAACCCACACCTTAAAAGAAACAATCAATCCTGGGGACACAAAGTCAGGGCCAGCAGAAGCAGACTGCTCTGTCTGGATGTGCTGTTTAGCTGGCGTGTAATTACAGCCACTAAAATACCCATTGAAGAAAGCTGCAAACACCCACTACAGCAAAGTGTAGCAGGCTCAGCTCCTCATTTTGCTTGGTGAATATTTTTTAACTTAAAAGTTACTGAAATCTGCTTCCAACTCTAAACTGTTGCAACGCTTGTGTTCCCTCCAGTCTTCACCTTCTTCCCATTACTATAAAAGGATTTCCTCCAGACCCCGTAACACCACAGCTCGCTTATAAAGGCTCCAGTTCGTACATTCGTCCCAGAGCAGTCTCTACATGCTCTACCTCAGATTTTGTGACCCTTTACCCTGCAGAAATTTTCTGCAATTTTGGTCCATATTTTTCAAAGACACAACTCCTGAACACAAATTTTCAAAAATCTTTCTGCTAATGCTTTTCTCTACAAGACAGATGTGCTCTGTAGCAATGGGTTGAAAGAACCAATTCTAAAAAGAAAAAGTTCTGTAACCAGAATGAAATGACATATCATCATATCCGTCTACAGCTGAAACCTAATGCACCAGCTGAGAGCAAAAGAAAAAAAAAAACTATGCAAATCAGATACGTCTCATAGCAGACAAAACCTGTTGCGCACGTATGGATGTCACTGCTTCTACTCAAACATCAAACAATGTAGTCAGCTGAAACAGAGCTTAATCTCTCCAGTGTATCTTCTACATATACGAGGCTACAAAAATACAACACGCAGTAATAACAATAACAACAACAACCACCTACCTGCATGTCTTTAGTTGCAATCTCCCCTGGAGTTGGCCAGCTGTTCGTATCTCCGAAGTCTCCAACCTGAGGACAAAAAACAAAGAAATTACGAAGAAATTCAAGAGGGGGAAAAAAAACAAAACCCATCCGATTGCTGCTTTTCTGTTTAAAAATGTCAATTTCTTCAAGAAATAGAGAAAAAGGAAAAAAGATAAACACCTCTCAGGTTAAAATGCAGTCTAAAAGCTGATCATGTCTGAACAGGCAGTACCGCTGTAGTCCTTACACCTTAAGCTCAAGTGTAATCTGGTTAAAAACACTTTACATGAGTGTTTTTACAGCTTATCTTCAGCAATGTGTTGCCGGCTGATTGCCAGTTTCTGTCTTTTGTTCCTGGGACTGGGTAGTTAACTCCAAACCAGCCATAAAAAGTTTATGGCCAAGGTGTGGCTACAAACAACCAACTGTAGAGTACTACAGTGTCAGACAAAAGGGGTGGGAAATTCTGAATGAAAGGCTTCATCTCGCATGCAATTGGTTCACTGCGAGCACATCTGCATTCCAGCATGTGAGAGGAGGTGACTGCACATTTCTCGAGGCATTAAAGAAATACCTGCTCTTGAGCTGTCACATGGGGGGGGGGAGACAACAACTTTCCTTCAGCTCATGTCATAAAATAAAGGTTGTCATTTCAATTTACATTCAGCAAATATTTCATCAGATACATTTTTCTAATACCGGGTAGGACCGCCCCTTTTTCCATCAGAACTGTGTTAATCCTTCACGGCATAGATTTATTAAGTTTATGGAAACATTTCTTGGGTGATTTTAGTGCATATTGACAAAATATCATCATAAGGTTGCTGCAGATTTGTCAGCTGCACATCAAATTTGCACTATTGGGTTGAGATCTGGGCACTGTGGAGGCTGTGAGCTCATAATCATGTTCAAGAAACCAGTTTAGAGAAGACTTGAGCTTTGTGGCATGAAGACTGATCGTGATGGAATAGCTTTACTCGAGCAGGCTGCAGTGTTTAGTTTCAACTAGGCATCATTTTAAAGGGGACCGAAGTGTGCCAAGAAATTACCCCACACACTTTACACCACCAGCAGCAGCTGAGACAATTGGATCCACACTTTAATGCCATTAATGCCAGTTTCTGATCCTACCATCCAAATGTCACAGCAGAAACAGACTCAGAACACAGATTTTGTTGATTCAATCTTCTAATTTCCAGTTTGCTGAGCCTGTGTGAACTCTAGCCTCGTTTTGGTCTTCTTGCCAGGCAGGAGTGGCACCCAGTCTAGTCCCCTGCTACTGCTGACATTTTGACACCAAAGCAGAAAGCCTGATACTACAACAGAAATAAAAAGCCACTTCACCTACATTTTAATAAATCACTTTTGTTTTTAAATGCAGCACAACAAAAATCTGTTATCTGGTGAAAGTTATATAAAATATTGATTTCTTGGCTGGGAATTATTAAACAATGACAGACAAAAATAAATCTTATAAGCTTACTCGATGGGGGGGGGAGTGTCTAATTTTTCCCAATCAAGTAAGCTAATTTCCCTTTGGACAAATTCCCGTCAACACAATCTGGATTTTAAAAGCACTGAATTTTCCTTCGAGATTTTTAAAAACAAATTGAGCCATATTAATACGTTTAGAGCTTGTAATTATTATAAACCCTTTAACTGTCCACTGCTTAACATTCAACACAGACAAACGCATGAAAAGTATTACCTTGCCGCCACGCCTGGCTTTAGGTGGGTTGCCTGCTCTCACTACCTTGGCAGGGCCGGTGGACTCTGTGGGGACACAAAGATGACTGACATTACAACTTGGTCTGCATACATGAACAGAGTAAGATAGAAGCACAAACATTTATATGCATTTGATTAAAAATGTAGAGTCTTCTAGGAAGAAAAAACCCCCAGCATAAGACAAACTTGCTTCTTTCTCCCACAGGTACTCGCTTGTCTTTCAAACAGTTCAATTTACATTCTCATTACTTGTCTTATCTACCAGCAGCAGGCAGGCTCTCGGTGAATAATCTGGCTTTATGCGTCTTATTTCCCCTTTAATAAACTGCTGTGGTGTCTGTTTTCACATAAACTAAACTACAAGCCGACACCATCATTCTTCTTTTCTGACTCTGTTGCATCCAGCGACAATCACTGCAACAAACCCACACAACACAATCACTCGAATAAGCAGCCACAACAGGAGAATACAAATTCAAAAAGTGTGTTGAACAACATGTCAAGGAATGTCAGAAACTCTTCCTCTTATATTTAATATAATCACACTATGGTGATTATATTATGGTATGGTTACTATGATTGTAAAACCATCGCGTGGCTCTGCTGTCCGCTTGTTGGTTTTCCACGTAAACCTTTCATAATAAAGCTCAAGATCCTGTTGAGACCTTTAAAAATAAACTGAATCACATGAAAGAGTACGCAGAGAGTTTATGGATGAGAAGCAAAAAAAGAGCCGCCAGGTGCTAAAAAAAAATAAACCTTAGACTCAAATGTTGGAGGGAAAAAAAAAGAAAAAAAGAAAAAAAGTGGCCGTTACAACTTATGTCTAAAAACGTATAGCTTCATGCATCGGTTGAAACACCCGACTCCAGGTACACGACGCCCAGCTGAAAACACTTCACACAAGTCGAGCTGCCCGAGATTCACAGAATTTACAGAAAATGTTACATTTTTGTGATTTATATCGTTGTCAGGACGATAAATGTCTCATATCGGGATATGAGATTTTCGTCATATCGCACAGCCCTAGTGATGGTGATAAAATTCTTGGCAATAGAAGTGAAAGATTTTCAGGAGCTTGAGGTTATGTTAAGTTAAAGTATAAAAAACAACAAATGTTTTATATTTTTCCTTTTAGGGGGGAAAAAAAAAAAAAAAAAAAAAAGGGGGGGAGCACTTAGCATACCGAACACACAAACCAACCAATAAATGATTAAAATATACATATTACTCAACTGAGGCCTGACAGCTAACGTGTTGTGTATTTTGTTGGCTCTTCCTCAGAACAATAAAATAAAACATATCACAGCAGGATCTGAGTTATTCCTTAAAATAAATACATAAAACAGGTGATCTCCATACAACATGACCAGCTCAACAGCAGCACACACCACCATCTCTTACGTGAATGTAAATTAGTAGATATAGAATTTAAACAAAGGGTTAAACACGTTAGTAACAAATTATTGCTACAATCCAGCTACAATTACAACAATTATCCATAAAATAAAAAAAGAACAAGGAGAACCTCAGAAAGATAGACACAAACTTGTTACCTTAAACCAGTTCTGAAGAAAACGTGCACGTTATTATCAGCCTTTAAAGATGTGAGTCTGGTATTGCTGTAGTTTCCCCCCCAATGAAAACGATAGTCACGCTCGCCACCTCATTGTCTGGCTCATGCCCTGAAATCAGAGATGTTTCCTCCTTTCTATCTCCTCCTGCACTGTCACCAGCCACAGTGACACGAGCGAGGCAACCAGCTCCCAGGCAGCAGTTCACACCAAAGAGTAAATCTTACTAAGCGCCTTGAGGACAATCACCAGGAAGAAAGAGAGCGGGGGGGAATAAAAATCCTCTGACGGATACATCGCCAAAAGCACAAAGAGAAGCAGCATGCCAGAGTTTCAGTAGAGGCGTCTATGCTCTACATGTTAATGACAGCAAGATATTTCAGGTTTGGAGGACAGTACAGTCAAACAGGAATTTCTGGGCCCAGAAAACCTACTTATATTTCACTTTTCAATGCATTTACCTTCTGAATCGCACGTCCCATAACACCCATCGCTCAAATCTTGTCTTTTCACCATTCAGGTAACCGTAAACAAAAGAAACTGTTTCCAACAAAACAAAAAGCATCTAACCTCCCATTTAGGAAGGGGAAAAAAAAAAAAAACAATACTTGGGAATCTGTATGAAAATGGCACAAACTTAAAGACCCAGGCAAACAATATTGCTGATTTCATCGCCATTTTTCAAATTCCCAACGACCTCCAGTAATGACAAAGCTTCTGGTGTCTAAAAAGTTTGCAGTCACAGTGCATGAATGAACGTTTAAAATTAGAAACAACAGGAAACAATGAGATTAAAACCTTAACCAGTGCAACATGTTTAGCTCCTGTAAAGCAGCTGTGTACAGGCGCCTTCAGTGGCGTCTCCTGACTCCAACTCCAAAGGGACTTACCATACTCCTCGTCTCCAACTACCTCTCAATGATCTAATAATCTCTCAAGGTTAAACACCATAGTGTTTTAAAATAAAATGAATAGTTAGCTTAGGACTAGGGCTGCCGATTATTTTGATAGTCGACTAGTCACCGATTATTTATGCGATTAGTCGACTAATCAGATCATCATCCACTGGACGTAAAACTACAGCTTATTGCACCAGCAGCATCTGCTCTTATATAACTATCATTAGCTTACAGCTTTAAGCTTTAAGGTAGTGCTAACTAAAAATAAAGACAAGATGATAGTTTATTACAATTTTAATGAAATTTGCAGATTGTTTCGGTGAAAGTTTAATAAACTCCTTGCTATCTAAAATATAACAGGACACCGGAGTATATTCTCCAGCATCTCACACTTCTGATAATCAGCTGTCTGCTTGACGTTTATTCAGCTGTGTAAAAACTATAACTTTAATCTCAGCCAAACCGATTTACTCAGGAACAAATAAAATACTAAAAAAAAAAAAAAAAAAAAAAGCCAAACAACAACATTTTTAATTTATCTAAGTGACTCATATATATTTAACCTGAGTCGCGAAAGACGGCGGTGGGTTTGAAAACAATTTGCCGCGCTATGAATTCTGGGACACAGCTGCTTCTTCTTCTTCGGGGTTTAACGGCAGCTGGCATCCTTGTACATGCAGTGCTGCCATCTTCTGTTTCAGTCCGTTATTACACTCTTAAATCCTGCTATTATTCCTGCGTCTTTTGCGATCTTACAAAGCTTCAAACGACGCGTCGACTATTAAATCAGTCGTCGACGATTTTGATAGTCGACGTAATCGTGACTAGTCGACAAATCGTGGCAGCCCTACTTAGGACATGGTCAAAGTTGGCATCGGTTTTCAATACTGATGTTTGCCATTAACTAACCAACATCCTATATCAACCACCGATTTTCTACTTTGTTTTAGCTTTGTTCATTTATCACCGGAGAAACTGATAAGAAAATATAAAGAACAAACCTCTTGTTTTCTCTTTTTGGTTCATCTCACTGCAGCTGAAAACTGATAGACAGCCAACTGGCAAATGAGATGTCTGAGAGCAGGCAGTAGGTCTGGCATCAACCGTTCTGATGATGTAGCCTCAGTTTAAAGTACTTAAAATCTGAACACTGAATGAACTCTAAATGGACACAAATTTACAGCCTTTTATTATTCAGCTCTGTTAAGAAGTGCAGTAAAAGTGTACGGGGGAAGGATGAGGGAGAGAAGTGCAAACACAAGAGTCTACTGTATAATATAAGTTGGTCTTATAAGCATTCAGAAAAACAAACTAAAAGTCACGTTTACAGAGAGCATGACTGTAGAGAATTCTTCTCCCCTTAGATCCACTATAGGTAGTAAATATGATTTTTGATTTGGGTATCTGTCTGACACTTGTCTAAGCACCAACAAATTTCCCATGTTTGGGACTAATAAAGGTTATCTTATCTTAAAGACAAAACTAAACATCAAAAGAAAGAAGATCCAGAATTTAACTAGTTCTCCTTTAGTTTGGCTTTCCGATTGTATTCTCTCATCGCAATGCTTGCTGTTGTGCACTCTCTTTTTCCCAGGCTGGGAACGCCGTCATAAGCCGATTCTGAGGCATTTTAAGTACAAGTGAGGATGAGGAAAACACTGAAAGCCACAGCAAATGCTTCGCCAGCTAATCGCATGGAATTATATTAAATTAGCCACTGAATTTAAAATTTCTATACAGAAATATGTGTACATTACCCATGATGCAAGTTGACCAGTTTGGTTAGCAATTCAATGCTAAAGACCTCAAGATGGTCACATTAAGCAGATGAGGAGGAGACGGCGGCAGAGGTTTTCTTTTTCAACATCACTCTTCAGTCCATGTGGAGCCACAAATATCCTTACACACAGGCTTAATAATCAGAGTTAAGCTTCAAATCAGTTGTTTTTAATCAAATAGAGGACTGCGAGCTGAACCTCATGTCTCTTTACTGTCCCGTAGTATCCCTGGACTTCATTTACATGATTCCTGGACTTCAAACTTAGACTGTTTGTTTAACTTTGAGCCATGAATTTAGGAGATGGTGCAACAGTGGTTTAATTTGAGCTTCCTGACACTACAGTCTTTAACTTTTGCTTCATGCTAGGCCGTTTAGGAGCCTTGTATCCCCCAAGGATTACTCAACAGAAGTTGCGTAGTAAATAAAAAATGATTTCTTGGAGAGATCAAAGATGGGACGCAACATACGACAGCAATCACGCAACATGAACTAACAAACAGGGCGAGGGCGTGGTGTCTTTCTGATCGCTAATACATTTGTGCAATGCCTATTTAGATAAAACGGTATGAAGAACATTCAAAAACCACATTTTCTTTCAACATCAACCAGCCAGGAGAATCACAGTGTAACTGAATAACCCATTTAGAAACTAAGGTGGAAGGTGTGTATAGATATATTTTTTTTTTATTTATCTTTTAAACATCCTTCCTTTAAAAGAACAATTTTATGAGCAACAAATTTGCAGATCTTCTCTAATAACAAAGGATTTGTTGCAGATACAGACAGCGCAATTTTTAGTCAGCCCCTCATTAGCTCCAATCAGAGGCCTTCAGGTCCATCTCCCAGGCTACTACTTTGTTTTCATCAATGCAGTCTTTCATAAAGAAGCTGTGTGAAATAATTAAACAGCTAAAGTTTGCTTTGTGAAACTGGCAGCTTTTTACCCTTAAACAAAAGCTTCTTATAACCTGGTGACGTTTCAGGTGGCGAACGCAACATCCCACACTTAGCAGGCATAAAGTTGCGTCAGCAGCTGGCCGCTTACACTAATCGCGGCTGATAATGTCACATGAATGTGCCAGTCTGATAAAACTCACTAATGGCAGGTGGAAACCAAAGGATTTCTCCAAATGGGAAGCTGATTCTGCGCTAACCTGGTTTGCTACTTTAAGCTGGAACCCCCCAGTGTTAGGCGGCCTCATGACCGGACTTTTCAATCATCCTGGCCTGTAGTCATTTTACCACCAAAATTAGGAAAATCACTAAAAGTAGAAGACTTTTACAATTAATGGAAGAAAACTTTGGTTTACTTTGACCTAGATTTGTACATCCTTGTTCCTGACCTTCATAGGAAAATAGAAATGTGCAGCCAAAAGTGGACAAAGTGTGAACTATTACTCCTGCCTCTTCAGCTAAAGAATAAACGTCTCCACAGAAGATCCCTCGGAAAGTTATGAGACCAGCAACTGCGCAAAAAGCCTGACATCAAACTTATTTTCCTCCAAAAAAAATCCTGCAACTCTAAAATTAAAATTTGTACTCCCCTAATAGCTAGGAAGAGCAAATGGCACTCCTCAGCTGGATAGTTTGTTCATGGTATGCTCAGCACCAAAAATAGCTTTAACTGGCCTTATAAGTAAAGATCCAAAGACACATGGATCATTTGCTCGTGTCACATTGTTCTGTGACCAAGTCTCAACTACCAAACAGGACTGAACATATCATCCTGAACACAGGTATGCATCTGCAAACACCTAAGATTTCCACCCACCCACCTACTTAAACTCCAGCCACATTTGGGTCAGGTTAATGCATAACTGAAACTCCTGCTCTCCTGTCAGCAGACCCATGTTGAAACACTGGCCAGCGTAACAACTTTGCACTTATTTAGTCAAGGAATCCGTGTTAATTCCTCAAGCATTTAGCCCTCTCTTATCTGCTTAGTGTATGAACAATAGTAGTTACAAAAATTTCTCACTGCTCCTTGTTGTGCATGATTGTTCATTTTGTGCCTAATCACAGGAAGTGGGACAACGGAGGAAACACTCAACTTTCCTCGAGTCTTTCTACCTCGTCACCATGACAGAGCACTCTGACGTGGCCTCCAACAATCAGAACTCTAGAGGAGCTGTTTCAGTTGGGCAAAAACACCAACTTTTAAAGTGCATTTAGAATCAAAAGTCAGAATACTTTATTAATCCCTAAGGAAATTATGTTCTCTGTAAAAAATTACGGTCCTCTGTGAAAGGGGTGATGCCTTGCCCATTTTTGCTATACTCTGTACTGCTTCTGTGATTCATCTGCTTTTCTGGGAAATCAGCTGCTCGGTGGTATTAGGATTATTAAAGATAGATTTGCATGACCATTACATCAGTGAGCGAGTAAGTGCAGAACAGAAGCAGTAAGTGAGATTTTCTTTGACTGTATGGACACAGTATCTATTATAGGTTCTAATCTTAAAAAAAATAAAAAAAAAAAATAAAAAATTGACAAGTGACATCAGGAGCCAGGTTACCATTAACAGCATCTATCAAGTTACTTATGTTTTGATTACCCCTCCCTTACCTGTGTAAGTGGTAGTTCCCAGGTAAATGAGGCTGGTAATGCAAAAGCAATGGGATTAGAGAGAAAACGTGGCATCTTCCTGTAAGTGTGCATTGTGTTTAGTTTTATTTTAGAGTCACATTGTTTGAAGTTTCCAAATTTTTCCCCCTTTTGTTAATAACTACCAGATACAACTGTTTGTGCACGTGCTCCTGCACATCGCCTCCCTCTTAAAATATGGACTGCACAACTAACATCATGGAGATGTCACCAGGTGGCAAGATTTGCCACTAGAAGGACTTGCTGATGTTTTCTCACAAACTGATCTCCTTTACTTCTGTAACTAATTGTTCATACACTTACAGCAATTTATTTTTTTTTATTTTTTTTTTTTAAATATCGCTTCGACCACTTCTGGGAACCCAACAGCAGCAATGAACCAGACTAGTTCCTGAAACTGTGATTACATTTCATAGTCCACCAAACTCTGCAAAAAGTGGACAATCAAGTGTTGTTCAGTACTAAAAAGCAAGCTGTTGAGCTAAACTGCCACCTCATGATCATCTGAGCCGCATGCTAGGAATCCTCCTCGACAGACATGTAGGCATTACTTACAGGGCTGCTCAGTGTTCAGTGCACGTCACATGATGATTGCAGATGATAGTTTAAGGTCAGAGGAGAGCCTCCCTGGGCCAAGATGTTAGGCAAACTATAAGCTGATGCTCCTCAGGCAGTCACATCGTCAGTGGGTTCACATAAGATGCTCTTTGTGTATCTAACTACCTTCCAGGGCATTTAAGTAATGCAAGCAGTGACTGATTATTGCAGCAAGACTCCGTGGTATAGCCATTAACTTAACCTCTCTACTAATTTAATGCTTCAGCCCAAGAGTACAAACAAATGCAACATTTCCCTCATTAACAATTATTTCATGATACTTTTATAGTTGTAATGTCACTTGAGAAGCTAAAATTGTATTGTTAACTGTATTAAGGGGACTCAATTTAAACCACAGAAATCCATCACAAATTTCATTGCTTCTGCCCAAAAGCAGAAAAAAAAAAAAAAGTGATATGTGGCCTTGTGTTCAGGTCTTTGAAATATTAAGGACGCAACTGTAAAAATATTTTACCACAGGAATTATTTTTGATGTTGGACAGTGTTTGTGGTTTTGTTGACTATTGTTCTGACACAATAGCAGCTGGACAGCGTCTTATCACACAAAAGTCACCTTGAAGATGGCACCTGAACGGGCGTGGTTTAGAGCTGGGCGATAGAACGATAACGATATGTATCGCGATATAACTTTTACTCGATAGAGAAATTAAGCTATCGCGATAGACCTCGCCGCTCTTGTCCTCTTAAAAAAAAAAAAAAAAAAAAAAAAAAGGTCAGCCAATCCAAATTAAGTAGCGCAGAGCCGAACCAATCACAGCCGCAGCGTCACGTTCGCGTGACTTGTTACGTACAGCACAAGTGCCAAGCCGCACGTGTGTTTGTTTGGGAAGCAGCCAGCGGGTAATGGAGCCAGCGCGTAATGGAGGAAATGAGTGTGCCGACTAGAAAAATCAACCGAGCGTGACCGAAGAGAAAACAGATGATGGTTCCAACGCCGGAGAGATTGTCGAACGGAAGAGCCATAGAAGTTCCGTAGTGTGAAGGTATTTCGGCTATTTCAAGTCTGACAAAAAACAGAGTAGCGTGCACTGTAAATTGTGCCGAAAGCAAGTCTGGAAATACAATAAACTGGTGCATGCGTCACACTGTGCGCCACGTTATTGTTTCGGTGAAATGAATTTCTACAATACTGTTACTGTTAATTCTACTCTCTGCAGTGTTTAAATGCTTACATATACACACAGTTACTGTCCGTCCACACATACGACTCGGTTCTGCTTCTATGCCGCAGCTTTGTTTACTTTTTCCCACCGAGGCTTCTAGACTTCTGATTGGCCAACATTTCTGCACGGTTAGGAATCTAGCGCCACCTGCTGCTTTGGCATGTTCATAGCAGCGTTTTCCTTCATTTCTGCCTTTATGTGTGGACGGGATTATTTTTTAAAACGAAAACGGAAAATCTCCGTTTTCAAAAATACCCGTGTACGTGTGGACGTAGCCTCAGTCTCTGACTGGAAGCGCTAATTCGTCATTCGGCTTTTGTCAGACTAAAGTAACTGTTAAAACTGTTTGAAAAGCTCAGCTATACAACAAGGAGAGATTGAGAATTTCCTTTTAGTTCTCAGTTTATTTGATATTGACAAAAGTTAGTCAGTTTTGTCTGTTCTTCTGTAAAACAAACTAAGATTTATTTTTAGAATTAATATTTTGTTTCTAAGTGGAATTGACAATTTAGTCTGTTTTGTTTGTTCTATTTTGAAACTTAAACGCTTTAGCGGCTGCCTTTTGTGTAGTTTGCAATATTTGCCTTTATTTATCTGAAAAAGTCTCATGTTCCTTAAGTACATCTACCCTGTTGAACTTATTATGGGAAATAAATATTTAAATAAAAACAAGCTGCTGATTATTTCACATTTTACTTGTGAGCAACGGCACATTTAAATCTTACAAATATAGTTATTTGGCTTATATCGTGATAGATATCGTTATCGCCTGAAATGAAAAAAACATATCGTGATATGAAAAAATCTCATATCGCCCAGCTCTACCGTGGTTGCACAGCTGGTCACTTCTAATTTCACTAGTGTGACTCTAGCATCAGTTTGAGCATTTGGCTGAAACTGATGACAACCCTTCAGTTTTCTCCATCCTGTTTGCGTCATAATGCTTCAGAATTATTACACAACTACTGTAACACCTATTTAAAATGCTCTCATAAGCCAAATTGTAGATTTTAATCTCTTTAATGTGGCCCATTTCACAATACTTTACTACACCACATCAAAAAGTTTCCATCTGTGATCCCAAACCTTCACTCCTGAGCTTTGCTTCATGACTTTTAAGTGTTTTTGACTTTTGGCACCTTAAAAACCCCTCTCTGCAGGTATGAGTACAGGCTGGTTGTATTTTAAGTTTTATGGGGGCAACTGTAATAAAGCTCTGACAACTGTGCTACTGAATACTCTCAAACTGAAAGATGGGTGTAGGTATGACTATGTGTTACAAAGAGAAATGGCTAAATAACAGAAACCCTACAGAGAGAAAAAAAAAAAAAATGAGTGAAGATGTAAATGGGGGAGGAGGAGAGGGAAGTGTACGACAATCACCACGTGGTGCCAACCTGAAAAAAGCTCAGAATTAAAAAGAAAATAATTTATTTTTCCTGCACATAAAGAAACAAGAAGAACAAAACGCTGGCCGACTAAAACACCCAGTGAGAAGAATTAATCAGTGGGCTCATTTTTCATTAAAAGTAAATCAAAATGATACAAACAACTTCACCATTTGCTGTTTCCCGATCCTCAACATCAGCTGTATATGAACTGAGGAAAAGCCACTTAAATACAATCTAAATGCACGACAATTAAACAATGCTGCACTCGCACACAAACAAGTGTTAAAGTAAATCTAAATAATTGAAAGCCAGTCATGAACTAAAACGAACTGAATTTGACTATAAGGAGGAGTGTCCATATTTTGTTTACAGTGTACACAACACTAAATTATATGTAGCTTAAGCTGCGCATCAGCTGATCAAAGAAAGCACAGCCTGTGGCACACCTTTATTCCCCTTTTAAGCTTCACAGTTTGAGTGTTAGACCCTGATGAAAACTCAAGTTTTTCTTTGCTGTGCTTCTACTCATTTTATTAAATATTTTTCATTTATGTCCTAAAAGTTTCTGCTTTTAGGACATGTTTTTACCCCACTGAGGAGCACCTACCTGGGGTATATGTTTTAGAAACCGCACAGCACTTCCATTTACAAATAAAACAAACAAACAAAAAGACTGCTCCATGCTGATGGCTACTTAAGTAAGCTAGACCTATTCTCATGCATGTTACAGATGAGTCACCGACTGTTACATTTTTAAATGCTTTAAAAATAAATAAAATAATATAGACAATGAGTTGAAAGGCGAGTCTTCAGAGTCGGGTAACACCGGGGTACTTTCAGCCTCCGGGAACCTTTTTAAGACTTCTAGGAAGCGTTACAGATAAGTGTTCCTGTGTCTGCGTGCCAGATACTGGGAAATAGGGCTGTTTGATATAACGATATATATCATTATATCGAACAGTGTGATGTGTTGTTATAAAAACATCTATCGTTTCATTTTACGCTATCGTATGTTTCGTGGTGTCGCAAAATAAACTGTTTACGGCAATATTTTTTCATCGTTTTGATGGTCACTATATTAATTTCTTAAAGTTCTCTTTTATATTTTATATAACCACACTACGGACGGACAAGCGCCTGTTTTTAATGCGTTGTGGTTAGCTACAACGACGGTAACAGCATTGCGTGTCCGTTTGTTTATGTTCCACATAAACCTTTCACAATAAAGTTCAAGATCCTGTTGAGAGTTTTCAAAATAAACTGAATCATGTGAAAGAGCAGATTATTTACAGATGAGAAGTAAAAAAGAGCCACCAGGTGCTAAAAAAATAAACCTTAGACTCAAACGTTAGAACAGGCTTTTCCCCGCAGCACGCCGTGTAATAAATACTCAAAGAAAACGGCGGCCGTTACAACTCATGTCTAAAATTGTATCGTTTCATGCATCGGTTAAAACACTCGACTCCAGCTACATGACGCACAGCTGGAAACACTTCCCGCAAGTCGAGCTGCGCGAGATTCACAGAATTTACAGAAAATGTAAAATTTTTGTGATTTATATCGTTATCGGACGATAGATGTCTTATATCGGGATATGAGATTTTGGTCATATCGCACAGCCCTACTGGGAAAGTCATAATTCGACAAAAATCAGCGTTTACAGATGTTTCTTTTAGCTCCTGAACTGGATTAGACATTTTCTCAGCATTGGTAATAGGCCAACACAAGAATAAAGCACTGGGGACAACCACTTAAACAAAAGTCTTAACATTACACACGTAAAGAGCCTAAACACAAAAATGGGGGGGAAGAAAGATTTTGACAGAGCAAAATGTGATAAATATGCCGTTTGCAATTTCTCTCAACTTACTACTTAGCATCCACCAATGAAGAAACAACACCACGAGAAAATAAAATTGTCACAGCTGACTGGATTTACACCATTACATAATTTTTATTAGTTTGACGGCAGCATGTAGTTGTAGTTGGACTTTCCCTGCAGGTAGTTCCCGAAACCGTTTTCTCCAGCAGCAGCTCACAACTAAGTACTTATAACAACTTCACAGACTGATGACATCCATTAATAATATAGAAATAGCCCCTAAAGGTTTGAGATGCTTGCACTCTCATGCAAACTGTAATTTGCTCACATGCTAAATGTAAATTTCTTCAAATCTGTTTAAACAGAGGGACATTTAACTCTTCAGGACTATTAAAAGATTGCTGTTGTAACCAACAGATTATTTTTAGACACAGAATGTAAAATGATTATTTACATACCAATGTGAATGTTTGAGAAGCTCCAGCTGCTAGAGGAAAAAAAAAAAAACCCATTCACTGCTTCACCAAGACCAGCGTGCTCTTGTCTAAAGACATTAGTATGTAGTGACTCTTCTCTCAAGCACTACATCAACTACTTCTTTCAATTCTCTCATTTCACCCACTCCTATGTTTATTCCCCACAGTGCTCACTGAAGGTTGTTGCAGCCTGCTGTGCATGCTGGATTGCCAGAGGCTACCATTAACATTAGCCACTACCAACCAACAGTTCAAATCAGCCATTGTCTCTTAAAGTTTCTCCAGTGGGAGCTTCACATCTGTTCATTTTGTAATTCTAATGCTTTACTGTAATATACACTTAAACTTATTTTGCAGTCAAGTGCTCCAACTTGACAAAACAGATTTCTGCACATTTCTGAAAAGCTCTTCCTCCACATCTCGTCCTCCTTCCCAATCAACAGCCCCAAGAGTGCCTCCCCCCTCCCCATCCTCGCAAACCAAACAACCACTCCACACAACGCACATGCCTCATGGGAATTTGTGTTTGGCCTCCACCTGAATCCTACAGCAGCTTCAGTACCTGCCCTAAGATCCCACGGGGGCTCTCTTGGTGAATCCTATAAATAAACTTTATGCCACGTCGGCTCTGCAGTCTTATACAAACACAGTCGCAGCGTTGGGAAACGGGCCCATTCCTCAGCCAAACGCTGGGGTTTTTTTGTGGTCTGAATCACACAGGTTTTTCCTCCACTCCCACATGTGTTGTATCATGATTTTGAGGTTGTACATTCAAAAGATTTGTTATTTTGACTCCATATTTG